AAGAGATACTATAATATCGCCATCGTTCTCCACCATATTTCTACGAAATTTTGTAAGATTATGCAAGGGCACATACCAGCGGGTACAAAGAAACCTCTTCAACCTCTGATTTATCATTCTTATTCAAACTTCTTAATGGCCGTATTAATAGGTCACGAATCGCACAAAAGAGCAGTTTGGGCCGTAAAACGCTCTCGGATGCTACATCTCACAACCTAATAGATCTTGCTTACCACTTTACATTGCCCCACGAGGCCGCGATACACCCCTATAAATTCAGCCAATCATGAACTATTCTCCGTCCTACACTTTCCACTCCATAAAAACCGCGCTTTTATATTCTCTCCGCTCTTCTTTCTTCTTCTTTTTTTATTTTGTGACTAACTAGCGACGAGATGATATCACCATCAGCTTTCTGAGAAATATATAATCGTGGTGAACTTGTCACCAGTGCCACGAAAAAGTGAACACTTCTACTTTAAAACGAAACTTGAAACGTTTTTATAATCTCTTTTTATAATCTAATGGAATAATTTGAAATATTCTTTTCTTGAGATTACTCTCGGAATTCGAGTTTTCGGATTCATCGTATAATATAAAATAACCGGTAATACCATCGCTACGTGTAACGAAACGTTTGCCAACGTTTCGCGTTTTCATTGTCGTATGAAAGATTCGACGAAAAGTCGGTGGTGGGCATCGCGGGGAGGGCCGTTGGTGCTCTGGAACGGCGCATGAAAGAGACTTTCCCTCTGAATTATACAGCGGCCCATGAAAAATTCGCGCAATGAACGGCAGTCCAAGTTGCACAGGGCGTATAAGGAGATTCGCATTATCGTGCATATTGGATGAGCGGAAGGTCGGAAAGAGGATACTCGAGATATGAAATTTTGATCACAAGTGTACGTGGGGTCCGGAATCGGAAGTTATCCCGATCCCGCGGGCACGGGGCGGCCCGTTGCGAGCGAATGCGTGAAAACTTGGTTGACCAAGGGGTCAATTGCCCGATTAATCCCGATTTTCATCTTTCCCCTGATAAAAATAAATTTCCTTCCGAATGCGATTCTCGTCGATGATCTTCGATGGCCATCGAAACATTGAAAAAGAAAAAGAAAAAAAAAGAAAGAAGAAGAAGAAGAAAAACATGTATCTTTATCCTGATTTATGCAAACACAAAACGCGTCTCCCTCTGTATACGTTCCACGGGAACAAGAATACTATAGAATATTCTATCAACCCCCTCCCTCGAAACGACCATAATATATCATCGTTTCCTCGGAAACATCATGTTTCGAAAATTACGTCGAGCGACCGATAATATGTTGAATTGCGTGGAAAAAGGGGGGAAGAAGAAGAGGAGTAAAAATATCTCTGGAAAGGAAAAGAGGGGCCCCGTTTCGAGCGGAAAACGCCCCGGTACGACGCTTAATAGCGGAAATCAACAACGTCTATCCGCCGAGACGCGGTGAAACGAATAAAATAGAATGTATCCACCGTTACGTAACCCTCGTGCCTCCCCTTTCTGTTTTCAGGCCGCTGCTGAAGCAGATAAAGAACTCGGCCGAGTCGCACATTGTACTGGATTGCTCCACGGAGAGGATTTACGACGTGTTGAAGCAGGCGCAGCAAATAGGGATGATGAGCGACTATCACAGCTACCTCATCACCTCTCTGGTGAGTCCTTTAATTAAATGAGAATGCAATTAATGTCTGGCTCCTGTGTCACGTACGCTTTTCTCCCAACAACTGGAAAATCAACCGCTATTACCACCCACCACCGACCGACCACCCCCGAAATTGCAACTGTCACGCGGATTACGCGTATAAACTAATTTTCGCGGGGTCGCCTCGTCTCGCCATCGCTCGAATTTTCCTCGTGATTTTCGAGCGGCGGCGTTCGTGATTGGAATCGATAAACGAGGTAAACGGGAGTCGAGGAAGGTGGGCGTCGGAGGGAAGTTATAAGGGGAAAGGAATCGACGTTCTAACGCGTATCCAAGAGCGAAAGATTCGAGTCGACGACTCGATTTCGAATCGACTTCTGTGAAAATGTTCCACGCGAGTTTCACACCGTGCTGATTCCTGATCCCTTGTTTAATGGAACTTTGAGGGAGCCGCGCGATTTTCGTGTTTTCGTCGTGTTTTAGCGAGCTTCGCGATCACCTATTGGATCGCTGCAATGTGAAATTTTATTCTCCTCGGTAAAAAAAAATCTCGCCTAGCTTCCCCCTCGTTTGAAAATATGCACGTGCAAATTTTGCCAATTTTCCAATCGATTTCCGAAATGTTCGAAATGATTTAAAATTTTTGACCGATGAAGATATATTCGACGTGGAATTTTTTTTATTTATATTTCGTTCGAAAACCTCCGAAAAACCTGAAAAAGTCCGAGGTCATCCGTGGAACGAATACTACTTGAACACGTAGCACTTCCACATCGGAATAATTACTATTACCGTAGCACTACTGATGTCTCGTTTCCTGTCGGCGCTAATCCTCAAAAGATCTCTCTCTAATTTTCCTGAAAACCAACTATCAGAGGGATCGTTAGAGTAATCACAGACTTCTCGCTGCTACTTAACGCTCCTTCTCCCTTTCGTTTCACTTCCCCTTACACATTGGCCGAGAAAAAGAGAAATAAAAGACATAAGACACGGACTTAACAAACAAAAGAAATTGTTGAGGGAGCATTGGGAGGCCTGCATTTTTCCACATTTTTAAGGTTCCAAAGAGAGAGGGGAAGAGAGAGAGAGGGAGAGAAACGGTCATGTTGTAGGTGATCGCGTGTATGTTTACACGGAACACGATTCCCTCGTTCGATTTCCTCGATCACGTTCCTGCATTAATGCACGTGAGAGACCTTCTATCCTCTTTGCAGTTGCTCGAGAGAAAGGGAATATCCTGAAGGTTTCTCGGATAGTTTGCACGGATTTCTAGTTGACTCGGATTGTACGGAAGGGAAAATTGTACGCGAGGAGTGAAATGATCGGTACGTGTTGGCCAAGAAATGGCTGGAGGCAGCACCGATCGTCGCTCCTATATCGACGATATTCCTTCTTTCGAAACTTTTCTCGCTCCCAATGGCGCGTAACTGAGAGGCAACGGGGCGAGGGAATAAAATTTTCCAGAGATGGATGACGCGTCGAATCGACATACCGTGTCGCGAGATTCTACTACGTTTCACCAGTTTGCGAGATAGGAATTGTATAGGAATCTTTCTATTTCCTTGCCGATCAAAGTTTTTCTCGAGGTTTTGCTCCCTTTTGAAAATCATCCTCGCTCCTTTGTTTCGTCGTCTCTCGAATATTTATGGACATCATCGTTTCGATGATACTCTCGAGGTAGGCAGGAGAGGTAACGAGAGATAAGTTAATGAGAAAAGCGTGACTGATTTGTAAATTTTTTTTGAATCACTTATATTCTTATTGGATCTATTAGAATCGAAAAAAGCGCTATCTACTATTTTTCGAACGATGCAATACACGTACATAAGTTAATCAACTTCTTCTCTAAATAAAATAACGCATTGTGTCAAATTGAGAAAAGCGAGAGAACATTTTACAGAGATCCCTTCGACAAAAAGATACTGTTAACCGGGTTTACTGAATCACTTCATCTTTCGTAATTACCGGTGAAAAGTGCGGTTGCTCGACCGAGGCCTGTCTTTAAATCGAGAGAAGAAGACGAGGAAACACGAGTGTAAAAGTGCGATCAACGATTGATGGTAAAACATAACGAAAGTGATCAATTCTTCCGAAACGATATCATCATACGCGATCTCACGTACTTAATAGTTTCTATCTCGTTTTAAACCGGCATTCATCGTCGCGTTATCATCATTTGATTACATCCTATCATTCCTTAATTGTCCAGTATCGAGTTGACTGATATTAAACGCAGCGGAATCGAAAAGGAAACGCTTAATTGGATAAGAGACACGTTCGAATTCGATCATCCGAACCACCTCTTCTGTGTATCCCTTCTCCTTTCCCCTTTCGCGAGATGTAATAATGCTCCATTCACATCGATCAGAATCCAACTCGAAACTTTCGCTACTTGTTGAATCGATGCGGTGTCAAAGATCAAACGGGATTTCCAATAATGGACGTATATTTTTATATGTAAAAATGAAAAACTTACAAACAATTGTCCATCCACCAACGACAAAATTCGTACATAGAACGTATATAATACGTAAGAGGAATACTTGGAAAATACCTTTTCTCTTTTTTACAATTTTTTATACATTTTTTGAAACATCGAACGTTCTCGAGTCGCGTCTCGTTTCTCGCGACAAGATAAAACTCGTGAAAAATTATCGGCAGTGTGGACGCGGCATAAGAATAAATCGTGGTTAGTTTCAGCAGCTATTTCCTTTTCCTGCGTCGTTCTAGAAGTATTTAGTAGAGCTTGAAATAACAGGTTGCGGGTCGAAAAACAGGCGGCGCAGATTGTTCGCCTTGTGGCTTATAATTATAAATTACTCGTAATACAGGGGGCAATTTGTGGCTCTCCTCGTCCCCCGACGGTCGGGATCGCAATTATTCGGTGGATGCCTTTAGAAAATGATTCACGCCGCGATCAGAAATGAGGGATAAAAGAGTCGGCGGCGGGAGAAGAGTCCCCGCTAAGTCCACGCTACGCCACCGTCCGAGGAATTATTTCTCCCTATGCGGTTAGTTTCTCAAGGGTCGCTCGTCGTAATTGGAAAATTCGTTCGCTCAAGGGTATTTCTTATTCGTGCCGCGCGCATTTATCAGCCTCGCTCCATAAATAACTCGCGTTACGCTAAATGAAGACGGATATCTTGTTTATCCGGCCTGCGTGCCAAATGATTTCGACGCATCCGATTCGAAGGCCATCGATCGAGAGATCGGATTGGATCTTCTCTTCTGGAGGGAAGAACCGCAGGGACGAAACGTTCTGTTGCGAAACTGTTCGAATATATACGACAATACGGATGTATAAGGATAATAATATTAGTCGGGTTTCGTCGACTGGTGTAGAGAGCACTTTGGCCAAGAATATATATGGATATTGTTTTATCTCAGGCTTCTTTCAGCTTGAAGTTTTTGTTTGTTTGTTTGTTTCGCGTTAATTTTATAGAACAATTTAATTATTTTCATTCATTCGGTATTATTTGCTATAAATAATTGTACGTTTTAATTGATAAGTAGATAGGCTAGAGAAATTATTTACAATTTATCTTGACGTTTTTAACGCTTCAAAAATATCGCTTTCGCTTACCTTTATCCAATTCCCCGTGAAAAACGCTTAGCCAAGGGAGAAGAGATTTTCTGGGCTTTCGTCGTAGTCGAGGGTGAGAGCCGTTCCCAAGTAATTAGCAATTTATCGTTGTCCACGGTTAGTCGGGCTTCTTCGAGGTATCGCTGACCCAGTTGAATAATCGCCGATGTATATAAGTCGTCTCGCTGAGTTATAAGAATTGGCAAATTATGTTTATCCGTGCCTGCCGCTGATTTTATGGTTTTAATTCCAATTAATATCGCGTGAATATTCCCCTCGTTTAATTACTCTCGTCACCGGTCATTTTCAGAACCGGTAATTGCAGATGACATCGAACTCGAAAACAAGCAAATGGTATATAATTATTTTACACTAGAAAAGTTGTTTTCAGTGAATACTTTTTTCTAAGTTTTTCCCTTCCTCTTCAATTTTTCTAAAAATTGTTAAAACTTTCAATTTTTATCGATCTTCTATTCTATTTTCATCCAGAGGGAATGACATTTTAAAGATAAGATAATTAACAATGTAATTAAAAGTTGCGAGAGTATAATCGATTCGATACGTTTGATACGACGCTTTAAAGATCGTGCAAACGTTATATAGAAAATTTTATCGACAACTTATAATATCAGAGGTTGTTAATTATTCGCATTCATTAAAACGTGCAAACTAGAAACTTGTTAAACATTGAATGCCCTATCGAACTTCCTCTGCGGCTTATTAATAAATTACTATAACGCTGTCAGAACTTACTAAACATTAATGCATACCAACTATGTAGTGGTTAAATCATTAACTGTTGATAATCAATTACTTTAAGAACGAATCATAATAACATTAAAATTCCTGAAACGTAAACGTTTCGATAAAAATAAACACGCTATGAATTTCCATTTATCTTAAATCATAACTTTAACGTTAAAATCTTAATCTTACTTATAATTTTTTTCCCCATCGAGAAATTAAAATTTCTTTTTTTCTAATATTCCCCGCATCTTTCACCTGTTTACCTGATAATTATATCCTCGACACGCGTTCGAAAGAGCAACTTCTAAAAAAAAAAAAGAAATCAGATACGAACATGGTCACGCCAGTCACCAACCAAGGATAAAAAGTAAATAGCCTGTGTAACCTCCCCGACGATTTATCTTGAGCCTAGCGTCCAGCAGATTTCAATTTAGATCCATTAAAATGTAAATTAGAGACCGTATTTGTTCAGACAGGTCGAGGCCTGTGCGTTCTTTCCATGCCTCTAACCCTCCGGGGGTGATTCGCGTTCACCGAACAAGGGACGATGATTTGTCACGGCTTTCGAGGGAGCAACCCTTTTTTGGCCAACGATTTTTTTCTTACGCCGTTTTGCTCGTTAACCGACCACGCGGTAATAAACGTAATCGCATAATTTGTTGCGAGAATAGGAGGAGAAACGACTCGATCTTGTTCCATCGATAACTCGAGCCTCGACGCGTTCGACAAGCGATACCGGTGATAACGATCGAATAGTTAGACAGTAGTTTAACACGGTTCACGTCTGTGAACTCGTTATTTAGGAATATCGCGATTTACGATGTCATTCTTCGCCGTGTTCGATTTTGAAAAAAAATTAATCAGAAACAGGGAGAAGATTAGGTTACCAATTTCATCGCAATTTTAATTGGTCGCATGGAATATTTGTTCCATGGTCCCTGGGGTTGTGGAAAAATAGCGTCGCGTTGTCCATTGTCGACTGAGCGGATTAATCGTTGTGCACGCGTGTTTTATAGACACGATGGATAAATAGAAGAGAAATAATTGCCTCGCGATCGAGTAGATTTAGGGTTAAAAATTTTAAAGCCTTTGATACACTGTCTATTGAATATCGAGTGGTAATAGTAATCTTAAAAGTTAAATATTAATATTTTTCGATCAAGAGAAAAATAAGGGACGCAAGACAGATTCCGGTATTAAAAAATTTAATCGAAGTTTGATACGGAACGATTTTCGTTCTCTATATTTCCATCGAACGCTATTAAAATTGGATCCTATTTATAAACAACGAGATTGTCAAACACAAGTTCACAGCGTCGAATAAATTTCTCTTTTCTCGTTGATAATATCGTGTAACATAGATCAAAGGGGAATGAAAATCGAACGGTAATTCGTGATTCGTTAAATCGTTTAACTCGAGCCGGATAATACTCGTGGGGGAGGAGTTAATTCCCACCAGTGCGTCGCGTATTTTTCCTTCAAAAGAACCGTCACGAAAGAAAGATCAGTTCAAAGTGGTGTTCGGTATTAATTTAAAAGTTATAAAAAGAATCACGAAACGGGCGTATTATTCCAGCTCGCGGGGGGAAGCAGCGAAGAAATTAATTATGACGAATATCAGGAATACACTCGAATGGCCGAATAAAATGTTGCCTATGGAGGAACGTCTCCGGAACCTATTTCATCCCATTTATATCCTTTAACTGGTCTTTTAACGTGGATCTTCATCCATCAACCTGATCTCCTTCGGAGGAAACGAATGAACGTTTCAAGTGACAGCAGTCGTTACCTAACGATAAACAGAATTAATGAAATTCTAATTATTGGGTAGGTAGATCGACAAAGTCTATTAAGGAAGACGATAGTATTCAATTTCAATGGGGGTGATCGAGTTATATATTCTTCGAACGATAAATTTATGGGGAGGGGAGGGGGGATAGGAATTGTTATATATCATCAAAGATTCTCATTTACTTGGAATAAATTTCTGTATTAATCTCGATTCCAATGATTAATTGGAACCGAGAGTATTATTTTTTTTTTGTCGACGTTGATTGAACGTAAAACGAAATAAAGTTGAACGAAAAAACGTGAGGGAGGGAAAAACGCGATTTTCGATAGGTTGTTTTTCAATTAGAGGATACTTCGTTTTCGCCAGAAATTTGCCTCTTCATTAGTAACTCGTTCAGCTTCTATTTTCTCTCTAATCAACCATGTTCAACTGGGATCATCGGGTCGAGTGCTCGATGTAAAATGCTTGAAAAAAAAAATAAATAAATAAATAAATAAAAAATGAATTTAATTGCCTTTATTATACCAGGGGATCTTTATTATCACAGCGGCCACTCCAATAAAAATCCACCGAGGCAAATTTACGCGGCCGTTAATTCAAACGGAAAATTCATGACAGAGAACAACTTCCGACTCGTTCGCCATTTACGGAATTTATTAAAGCAATTTTTTATTTTCCAACTCGACACCTCGTTGTTCTTCTCGCACGAGAATATAACGAGTTACTGCCTCGTCGTTGATTTTTCGTATATCTACTTTACATCAGAAATATTAATTCGTTTATCGAGTATCGAATCTATCTTCCTTGTATCGAGGATATCAGGTCTCCAAAAAAAAAAAAAAAGAAAAAATTTCAAAAGCCAAAAATTCGATAAAAAGCTTGAAAGATACAAATACGAATCTTTAAAAAAAAGAAAATTAAAAATTCAACCAAGAGAGGCCAAAAATATTAAGTAAATTTATGTACTAGCACGAGTATATATACAATACAACCATCGAAACGTTCCTTTTTTTTTTTTTTTTTTCA